CTCTAAAGGACACAGTCATTTTGTCTTCCATTAAAAACTACTCAAGACTATACAGGAGAACTAGACTCTCAAAACAGTTAAGATGAAAGCTTTTCTTTAAGTATCAGTGACAAACCTTGTGTCTCTACAAAGTATGAACAACCTATCACCATTCTTTGAAGATCTGCAGTGCAAAGAACTGTAACAACTTGCAGAAATTAAAAATACCACTCTTTTGCAATTCAATCTGCATAACTACAATCCACAGGTATTTTCTTTCAAAGCTCCAACAGCCATACAATTCCCTTATGGTAACAGATATCTAAATCCAGCTTAGTATTAACTGGCCATTACTGTTTTATGTTGCCAATAAGGCAATATGTATAAACAGTGAACAAAGACCTGGTTAGATTCCTGAAACCAAACGTTTAAAGGCTGATAAACAACAATTCATTATAATATATTTTGGTAAAAAAATAAAAAAAATAAAAAAATGGGCAAACAGACACTAAGACAACTTACCATACAGAGACTGCTGCCATGATAATGCAGAACAAAGTAATGCCAAGCTTTTGCCACTTCCTGTAGGGCTCTCCAACAAACAGTGTTGCCTGTTATTTAAGCCCTTAACAATCTTTAAGGAGAATAACATGAACAAAACCAGAATTAATAGGAAAAAAAATCAAAGAGGATGTCTTTAGCTAAGCTAGAAATAACTTCTAAAAATAAATCAGGACACCTGCTGTCTTGTAAAAAAGAAAAGAAAACCGAAAACCACCCCCCTGCCCCCCAGTCACCTTTAATAACAACAACAGGTCAACAAGCCTTAGCTGTATTTCTCTCAAGAGGAACACGCCTCATGAGCAACGCTCAGAGGTTCACTTACAGGAGCTGTGAAATACTTACCTGCTAACAGCAATACCTGATGGGGCTGGCTAGCTTGCTTCCTTTAGTCTTACAGAACCAAAACATTGGTAACATCTGTCAGACAACTGAATCATTTGTCCCACAAAGCAAAAAATGTTTAAAAATGGTTAAAACTGTTATAAGTGCTTAAAGTGCAAGAATTCATTTTTAAAAACTCTCCAGAAAGGGAAAACTTGTTAAAATATTATGTTCTGTTTAAAAGACAGATGTTTTGTTAAATCATTCCCTCCATACATATTTGCAAAATTGTATAAAATGTCCATTACAGTATATCTAGTTAATTAATCATATATATATATCACACATAACTTGTTTCTTAGCATAAAAGTTCACAAATTCAAAATGTACTTCAGCATTCCCTAGTCATGGGCCAGATATCATTGTACAGCACAGAGAACAGTAAGTTATGTTACCACTGAAATTCTCAAGATATTGGAGGCTCTGAATTTAATATGTGGGTTTTCTAAATGCTAATAGGTACTGGAAAACATAAGCTGTTAGTTCAGCAAATGTTAATATATATTCTACTTACAGCGTTCATCATAGCAAGTTGTGAAGGGTAAGCCTTGCAAGGAAATATGATTTTCACTCCTCCAATAGTATATTCTGACACATCAGAAGACATTGCCATGTTTTCCTCCTGTTTACTTCAGGTTTATAACTGCAATAAAAAAATAGTATTAACAAGTCAACACCAACAACCAGGCAAAGCCTGAAACAACATATGGCACCAAACAAAAACAAGCAGAAAGTGCTAACCTGATAAGGGGGCTAAGCAGTTCAGGATATTACCAGAACTGGTATATAGGAATTTATATTACACATCACCAGTTCAGACTTGGTCCTTGTTTCAAACGAGAGCAAGTTGCCACCATCTGATGAGTAACATCAGGAATTTAAATAAAAGTACGATGAACTGTGCACATCATTTCAGATTCTACTTCTCAGACTGCATATTGTTGGGGTAAGAACCCAAATCCTTGGGGGAAAAGTATTTTAGGATATATAATAACTAAAAGTATCCAGTTTTCCAATTATGCAGGTCCATTAGCTTGAACTCTAAGACATTGCCAACTACAAAGATACAGTTGACAACAGTAGCTTGCACTGTTCATTTTCGAACAGTGAGAAAATAAAACTGGACACTGACTTTAAAAATGAGATGTTTAAAAACTAAGGCTTTTCTTCCACCAATAATACAGTAATTATTCAGGAGAAAATAAGGTGTCAGTCATCTTACTATTCTGTGAGTATTATCTTGCATTTCTCTCACTCTGGATAATAAAGTCAGTTTCCCTATCATGCTAAAATGTTGAATTTATTTAACCAAAAATTACTGAAGAGGCATAGATGGCTTAAAAAAAAAAAAGGACTACTTTTTTAAAAAGATGGAGAAAATTTTTTTCTTATAGGCTTGCAGCATCTACAAAACAAATGAGCAATTTAAAACTGGCAGATTCCCTGTGATAAATTACCTCACTAACCTGTGCCCTCATCTGACTTTTAATGAGTAAACACATACACCAAAAACCACCACTGTATGGCACAATTCAGCTTCATCATCAGCTTTCTCAACAGGTAATCCTAGCAAAAAGAGATTGCTAACATCAGTTTACATCCTACCCCTCCTCCCAAAAATGAAACCGCACCCATTAGAAGGCTTTTCCCTAACACGTTCACCGAGGGCTCCCTTAAAAGAGCACTACCTCGAATTGAGCTTTGCCCAAGAAATAAGCAAGCCCCCGTTCGGGCACTGGGAAGGACTCAGCACCAGAGGAGGCAGGAGGCGGCCACGGTCAGGGACACCGGGAACGCGGAGGGACCCTGCGTCCCGCTCTGCTCCGCTCCGCCCGGGAGGGCCTCTGGGAGGACCCGGGCCGCTCCCCAGGGAAATCCCGACGCTACCTTGGCC